CTATAGCTTTTTTAGTTGAAGAGAAATGGCCCGGACAAAATTAAAGTATGAAAATTAACAAAGGGCAATAACTCAAAAAATAAAAACTGCAGAGTACCGGTCCTTGTGCACTGCACTTCGGGTTATTGAAAGAAGCATGCATACCAAGTTTGAAGTCAATCAGACTTATAGTGACTGAGTTATGCTCCGGACAAGCTTTAGCGGACGCCGACGCCGACAACGACAACGACGCCGACACAGACGCCGCCGCCGCCGACACCGCCGACAAAAGTAACCCCTATATGTCACCTTTTCAAGGCGACACAAAAACTATTGTGCTGGAAAATAGTGTTGTTAAGGGATACCACGCATACCAAATCAAACCACCAATTACAGATCAACCAACTAAACTTAGGGTGGACAGAGAGTACACTAACATTGTTGATCGAGATGCCTGTCTAGTATGGTTGCCAGAAATTGAGGAGTCCGATGAAAAACTGCATGACGTGATTACAGACCATCAGAGGCACTTAAAATTATCAGATATTGCTGGTTTGCCTGTTGGACATGCACCCAGAGTGTTAGCAGGGTTTTTCAGGACTGTGCTAGACGAAGATGGCAGTGTGTATGCTGTTGCTACTGGTGAACCCTGTCAGAGCTTTCCTCCCTGGCCAGCACCTGGGGACAAAGGTGGTGGAGCAGTTATCCCTTGCTCCTATTATATTACAAGTACACCAAGCAAATTCGAATATAACCTTTCCTTGTTGAGCTCTACTTTGGAAAAAATGGCAGAAGGTTCAGTTATGAAAGTGTCATGTATGTAGTTATTTGTACATGTAGATATATCAGTTTTGAGCACACTCTGTGACATTGATCTGAACATTATAATTATATAATGTGTACTTTTCTAGTCCTTTTGTATGTTGTCTATTTGATTATTCTTTGATTAACTGTGATAACCCTGTTAAACCAATTATTTAAGATTATGATCTCAATCAGTGTTTACATGCTTTATAATCTTGTTAGCTACTGTGTCAATTGTTACCATCTTGTTTAATAAATAATTCTGAATAATAATAGTTTAATCATTATTCTCTTAAATTGACCCATGTGTAAAATGGCCTTTTTGTCTATTCTTCTGATAATTAATGCCAATGGCTCTTACAAACAAAGAATATTTCTGAAACACATCACAATTACTGATTAGTAACCCATTGGGAAGGTTTTTGAAAATGTTTTGAGAAGATCCCCAATATGGTCCGAAACTGCCTAAACTGAACCGGAAATAACCGAAAAGGTCATGCTGCTCGAAGGTTCAATCAAGAATGAAAGCTAACAGCTTTTTGCAAAAACTTATGTTGGTTAAAGAGAGGAAGAATTTATCTTTCTCTTGAAACAAATAAAATTCCAACAATGCTACTTTCAGATAAGTGACAAATATAATTGTTGTTAGCGATCCAGAACACCCTAAACGACTGTAGGGGTGTATATTTTGGATATTATAGACCTGTATATTTTGAATATTATTGTTGATATTGATAGAATTAAAGTTCCTGTGGAAAAAAAAAACATTTAATATTCAAATCTCTAGCGTGCCTACCAATGTCTGTCTTTCGTCCGCCCATTCATAAATGATATACAATATTGGAAACTTAAAACCAATTATCCATTGAAAAGTTTATAAGAATATCTGGTCATCAGATGTCTACTAGTTCATCTTCACTTGCTGCATTTCTTGCTTGGACGCCCTTTGATGCTTTGCATCAATGCTTTTCTCGTCATAGCTTAAACAAGTTTAATATTTTACATACATTTCTAACCAAGGTTTTGTTGAGAATTACAGCGTTATTCTAATGCACTGAATGACCCTCTGGTAAGTGTGAAATAAATGAAAGCATATCTATCACTGTCATCCTTGTAAATGTTTATCAATGTCTTCGTAAATGATTATATCAATAATGAATACCAGTTATTTTAAAACTAGTCAAACCGCTCTACTAGGTAAGCTATGTAAAAGTCACGCGGTGTTACTTGTGCAATAACCGAAACTAATGCTATTTTCAGAAAATACATTTTAAAATAGCAACAAGTGTAGCAGACGATCAAAGCGAGAATCATATCGAGTTTCTATATACATAACTTCATGTTTAAACCTCGTAAGGATTGTATATAAGAGTTATAGAAGAATTTTTAATATCTAACATACATTTCTATCGAATAATTTGTTGAGAATTACAGCGTAATTCAAATGCACTTAATGTCCCTTGATAAATGATCCAGTATAGTCATTATATACAAGAGTATTTCCCCAATTATGTTAGTATACATGGTATATGGGGGTTTGCGAATAAACACATTTTGGGCCCTAGTGTGTTATCTATCAATCCAAAAAGTGTTTATGTTGAGCTGTCTTACTTTTTGGCTTGATGGATAAGCTATGTCGAGCTGTCTTACTTTTTGGTTTGATGGATAAACACTTTTTGGGCCTTAAAGAGGCCAAGAACCCCCATTTACATAATTTACATAACTACTCCTTTATATTGACTTCAATACATGAATTTTGGTGGAAGAGTGGCGGCATGGCCGAGTGGTTAACGCTTCGGACTATTAATCTTATGATCTCTAGCCGCATGGGTTCAAACCCTGACAGGGGCAAGTCGTTGTTTCTTTGAGCAAGAAACTTTACACTCATTGCTCAGTACTGGTTGGTTCCAGGAACGGATTCGAAAGTGTGTTAATAAGCTAATAGCTTCCTACACAATCGAACTAAAATAAATTCTGTATAAACCAATACATGAATTTTCTGTAATAAATAAGTTTAACATTTGAAATTACATTGTACACAGTTTTACCCTTACAACATCACTACATGCGAAACACAGATATTTAGAACAAAAATTGGAAAAGTTCAACAGTTACTATGTTCATCTACAACGTTGCATATCCGTATCGGTACCCTCCTTGCGAAATCTACAAAAACGATGCCCTCTTCACGAACTCTTCTGAAGCGGTATACTCTTTACAAAATCTATGAAATCGGTACCCTCTTTGTGAAATCTACTAAAGCGGTACCCTCTTTGCGAAATCTACTTAAACGGTACCCTCTTTGCGAAATCTACTACAACGGTACCCTCTTTGCGAAATCTACTAAGACAGTGCCCACTTTGCGAACTCTTCTAAAACGGTACCCTCTTTGCGAAATCTACTAAAACAATACCCTATTTGCGAAATCTACTAAAACAGTGCATTCTTTGCAAAATCTACTAAAACGGTACCCTCTTTGCGAAATCTACTAAAACGGTACCCTCTGCGAAATTTACTTAAACGGTACCCTCTTTGCGAAATCTACTAAAACGGTACCCTCTTTGCAAAATCTACTAAAACGGTACCCTCTTTGCGAAATCTACTAAAACGGTACCCGCTTTGCGAAATCCACTAAAACAGTGCCCTCTGCGAAATCTACTAAAACGATACCCTATTTGCGAAATCTACTAAAACAGTGCCTTCTTTGCGAAATCTACTAAAACGGTACCCGATTTGCGAAATGTACTAAAACGGTACCCTCTGCGAAATTTACTTAAACGGTATCCTCTTTGCGAAATCTACTAAAACGGTACCTCTTTGCGAAATCTATTAAAACGGTACCCTCTTTGCGAAATCTACTAAAACGGTACCCGATTTGCGAAATCCACTAAAACAGTGCCCTCTGCGAAATCTACTAAAACGGTACACTCTCTTTGCGAAAAAAATCTACTAAAACGGTACCCTCTTTGCGAAATCTACTAAAACGGTACCCCTTTGCGAAATCTATTAAACGGTACCCTCTTTGCGAAAGTCTACTAAAACGGTACCCTCTTTGCGAAATCTTCTAAAACGTCATCCTTTTTGCGAAATCTTCTAAAACGGTATCCTCTTTGTGAAGTATACTAAAACGGTATCCTCTTTGCGAAATCTTCTAAAAGGGTACCCTCTTTGCGAAGTCTACTTAAACGGTACCCTCTTTGCGATATCTACTAAAACGGTGCCCTCTTTGCGAAATCTACTAAAACGGTATCCTCTTTGCGAAATCTACTAAAACGGTGAAAAGAATTAAACCACGGAACACTAGAATATTTCAACTGTGTCTTGCTTACGAATGTGTCTATAGTTAAGTTACTACACCTCCACAATAAGTTACACAATATCGCGATGTTTCGCCACGCCCACCGCCTAAGCATGCTATGTGGGCTGAAATGAACCATTGATTTAACTATGTACACACCATACATACAATGTGTTTCCATTTATGTATGTCTGTTATTTGTTTTCGGCAGAGAATGACCTGTGCATGAGGGTACCGTTTTAGTAGGTTTAGCAAAGAGGGTACCGATATAGTTATGCACCGTGTCTTTGAATACGCAGAAATATTTTTTTAAACCTATGGAAATCTTTTACTGAATATGTCTAATTTGAATAAAGAATGTACAAACTATGTATGGGAAGCTTCATTCCCTATTACATGTCAAGTAAAGTTGGCCCTTTCTTAAAAACACTGACAGTTTTTAATGACATAGTGTGGCCTCCTATAGTGTGTATGTTTAAAACATAACACATCTACTTTTTGTGAACTCAAAATATGTAGATTTTATATTACAAAGAGAAAACTTAGCAATTTTCATTATTCCCAAATACCAAGCATAATATATCTAACATCGGGCTCATGTAGCTCGAAACCAGTGTGCAGACTCCTGTGGGACAAACATCATTCAGAAGTAAAAACATAAGCTCTTTTGTCCAGGAAGCAGTCTTTTTCGCGAAAACAGAATAGAATTCACGGCTTAACGGCGATTCCTATCCTCTTTTTTTTTTGATAAGCGAATACTTGCTATTGTACACGAATCAAATTGATGGTGTCTTTGAATAGAAGCATTGCTGAAACAACGAATCGTCTACGGACAAGAGTAAATGTCAAATAATAATACGTTATTGAAGACACAATTTTTCAATGTAATGTTCTCTAATGTGTAGAAAATAAACCTTACCTTTCAAGGACACAGCTGATTCAAATCCGTACCATTGTTTTGCAGTCACCTTTGTCGGTTCCATTTCATATTCATGTTTAAACGAAAATGCCCAGCTGGAATAAGTTGTTCCGAAATCTAATGCTGCAACCACAAGCGAATTACCCTTAGACATTTTTTTATATTTTGATATAATGTTATTCAACTTCAGTACTCTCTAAATTCATTCTCATTTTAAGGAAAGAAAATTATAAAATCCTTTACTTATTTGCCATCTGAACTTTGTAAAACTGCCAGATCTTTACTTAAGATGAAACGCTAGCTGTATTGTCAAACAAAACAAACAGAAACTTTGGGACGGTATTTATCTTCATAGACGTGCTTTGTTTTCCTATTTCATAAAACAATAGATGATATCTAAATATAGACTACACGTTAACGGTTATGTTTTCGTAAAATTTATATAGACTGTACTTAGATTTAATCTGATTTTCTGAAAAAAAAAATTAAGTGTCCACGCACATACATTTTGTATTTTTATTTTATCATATTTATTTCCTTTAATAGAGTTAACTGCAGTAAATGTGTGTGTGTTTGTGTGCGCGCGTGCGTGCGTGTGTGTGTGTTTGTGCGTGTGTGTGCGCGCACGTGTGTGCCCGCAGGAACCTGCCTGACTGGGAAACTACCAAACAGGCCACACGTTTTGGTAATGGAGTTTGGGCTCGAGACACGCAAGCGGAATTAATGATTACCTTTTAAAATTCACATTTGAAACATTTTATATATAACCTATATCTTATTAGATGTGTGAAGTTGGCGGCCTAGCGGCCTGGCGGCCTAGCGGCTTGAAGTTGGCGGCCCGGCGGCCTAGCGGTCTGGCGGCGTGAAGTTGGCGGCCCAGCGGCCTAGTGGCCTGGCGGCGTGAAGTTGGCGGCCTAGCGACCTGGCGGCCTAGCGGCGTTAAGTTGGCGGCCCAGCGGCCTGGCGGCCTAGCGGCCAAAAATTTTAATGATGTAAAAATGTTGTTTTTTTTTAACAATAAAACGGCATTTAATGAAGTTTTAAAGATAATTATTGTTATTTAAACGATAACTCTAAAGAAAAAATCACGTTCAGAGATTTTTTTAATTTTGTCATTTTTTGTGAAGTTGGTGGCCCAGCGGCCTGGCGGCCTAGCGGCCAAAAATTTTAATGTTGTAAAAAATGTTTTTTTTTTTTAACAATAAGACGGCATTTAATGAAGTTTTAAAGATAATTATTGTTATTTAAACGATAACTCTAAAGAAAAAATCACGTTCAGAGAGATTTTTTTAATTTTGTCATTTTTTTGTGAAGTTGGCGGGCCGCGGCGGCCTAGCGGCCTAGCGCCAAAAATTTTAATGTTGTAATATTGTTTTTTTTAACAATAAAACGGCATTTATGAAGTTTTAAAGATAATTATTGTTATTTTAAACGATATATCTAAAGAAAAAAAATACTTTTCAGAGATTATTTTAATTTTGTCATTTTTGTGAAGTTGGCGGCCCAGCGGCCTGGCGGCCTAGCGGCCAAAAATTTAATGTTGTAAAAATGTTTTTTTTTTTAACAATAAGACGGCATTTAATGAAGTTTTAAAGATAATTATTGCTATTTAAACGATAACTCTAAAGAAAAAATCACGTTCAGAGATTTTTTTAATTTTGTCATTTTTGTGAAGTTGGCGGCGCGGCGGCCTAGCGGGCCTAGCGGCCAAAAAATTTTAATGTTGTAAAATTGTTTTTTTTTAAACAATAAACGGCATTTTTAATGAAGTTTTAAAGATAATTATTGTTATTTAAACGATATATCCTAAAGAAAAAATCACTTTCAGAAGAATTATTTTAATTTTGTCATTTTTGTGAAGTTGGCGGCCCAGCGGCCTGGCGGCCTAGCGCCAAAAATTTTAATGTTGTAAAAATGTTTTTTTAACAATAAAACGGCATTTAATGAAGTTTTAAAGATAATTATTGTTATTTAAACGATATATCTAAAGAAAAAAATCACTTTCAGAGATTTTTTTAATTTTGTCATTTTTGTGAAGTTGGCGGCCCAGCGGCCTGGCGGCCTAGCGGCCAAAAATTTTAATGTTGTAAAAATGCTTTTTTTAACAATAAAACGGCATTTAACCCATTACTTCATATACACGCCTTTTAACGCCTTTTTCACCCCCCCCCTTTTTGTTGTCTCAAATGATGAAAAAATGCCTTATTTAGGCCCCAAACACTTGTTTTGGTTTGAGAAATGTTGTTTAAAAAAGTGACCTCTTTTTCGGCGCGGCCCCCAACCAAAAGATACATCAGGGGGTTGCCAGAAGGGGGATGTGCCCCCTTCTGTTTGGGGGGTTTGAAGGGGGGCGGAGTCCCCCTCATCGCCAAGAAAATTTTGGACTTGTGAGAGGCTGTAAATGACCCCAGATTGATCATAAGGTAACGTGTAACCAACGCTGAAAAGCATTTGACTCTATCTCAATCCATTGAGAAAGTGCAGCACTTTGAAATCAATTTTGATGGAAAAAATCAACGCAAAATAGTGATTTTTGGCAATTTTGAGATGTCCCCTCGTTGCCATGGTAACAGAAAATTTAAGCCTGAGCATGTTGTTGCAAGTGCAATGGTCCAGTCAACATTTGTGCCAAGTTTGATTAGTGTTGAAGCAGTTTTTTATAGTATTATAGCATTTGAACTTGTAACGGGAGACTTTTCAATGAAAAAACAGCCATTTTTCACAAAATGCTCATGAAGTAATGGGTTAATGAAAAAAATCAAAAAAATCTACAAAACAACAATTTTTTCTTCGAATTTATATGACAGGCCATGTTTAAACATGAAAGAACGCGATTTAGGGTAATTTCAAGTATTTTCATCATTTTCAGTTAACCCATTACTTCATATACACGCCTTTTAACGCCTTTTTTCACCCCCCCCCTTTTTGTTGTCTCAAATGATGAAAAAATGCCTTATTTAGGCCCCAAACACTTGTTTTGGTTTGAGAAATGTTGTTTAAAAAAGTGACTCTTTTTCGGCGCGGCCCCCCAACCAAAAGATACATCAGGGGGTTGCCAGAAGGGGGATGTGCCCCCTTCTGTTTGGGGGGTTTGAAGGGGGGCGGAGTCCCCCTCATCGCCAAGAAAATTTTGGACTTGTGAGAGGCTGTAAATGACCCAGATTGATCATAAGGTAACGTGTAACCAACGCTGAAAAGCATTTGACTCTATCTCAATCCATTGAGAAAGTGCAGCACTTTGAAATCAATTTTGATGGAAAAAATCAACGCAAAATAGTGATTTTTGGCAATTTTGAGATGTCCCCTCGTTGCCATGGTAACAGAAAATTTAAGCCTGAGCATGTTGTTTGCAAGTGCAATGGTCCAGTCAACATTTGTGCCAAGTTTGATTAGTGTTGAAGCAGTTTTTATAGTATTATAGCAATTTGAACTTGTAACGGGAGACTTTTCAATGAAAACAGCCATTTTTCACAAAATGCTCATGAAGTAATGGGTTAATGAAAAAAATCAAAAAATCTACAAAACAACAATTTTTCTTCGAATTTATATGACAGGCCATGTTAAACATGAAAAAACGCGATTTAGGGTAATTTCAAGTATTTTCATCATTTTCAGTTAACCATTACTTCATATACACGCCTTTTAACGCGTTTTTCACCCCCCCCCCTTTTTGTTGTCTCAAATGATGAAAAAATGCCTTATTTAGGCCCCAAACACTTGTTTTGGTTTGAGAAATGTTGTTTAAAAAAGTGACCTTTTTCGGCGCGGCCCCCCCACCAAAAGATACATCAGGGGGTTGCCAGAAGGGGGATGTGCCCCCTTCTGTTTGGGGGGTTTGAAGGGGGCGGAGTCCCCCTCATCGCCAAGAAAATTTGGACTTGTGAGAGGCTGTAAATGACCCAGATGATCATAAGGTAACGTGTAACCAACGCTGAAAAGCATTTGACTCTATCTCAATCCATTGAGAAAGTGCAGCACTTTGAAATCAATTTTGATGGAAAAAATCAACGCAAAATAGTGATTTTGGCAATTTTGAGATGTCCCCTCGTTGCCATGGTAACAGAAAATTTAAGCCTGAGCATGTTGTTGCAAGTGCAATGGTCCAGTCAACATTTGTGCCAAGTTTGATTAGTGTTGAAGCAGTTTTTATAGTATTATAGCAATTTGAACTTGTAACGGGAGACTTTTTCAATGAAAACAGCCATTTTCACAAAATGCTCATGAAGTAATGGGTTAATGAAGTTTTAAAGATAATTATTGTTATTTAAACGATATATCTAAAGAAAAAATCACTTTCAGAGATTTTTTTAATTTTGTCATTTTTGTGAAGTTGGCGGCCCAGCGGCTGGCGGCCTAGCGGCCAAAAATTTTAATGAGTTGTAAAAAGTGTTTTTTTTATAACAATAAGACGGCATTTAATGAAGTTTTAAAGATAATTTTTGTTATTTAAAGATATATCTAAAGAAAAATCACTTTCAGAGATTTTTTTAATTTTGTCATTTTTGTGAGTTTGGCGGCCCAGCGGCCTGGCGGCCTAGCGGCAAAAAATTTTAATGTTGTGTAAAATGTTTTTTTTAACATAAAACGGCATTTAATGAAGTTTTTAAGATAATTAATTGTTATTTAAACGATATTATCTAAAGAAAAATGCAATTTCAGAGATTTTTTTTAATTTTGTCTTTTTGTGAAGTTGGAGGCCCAGGGCTGGCGCCTAGCGGCCTAGCGGCCAAAAATTTTAATGTTGTAAAAATGTTTTTTATATAACAAATAAGACGGCATTTTATGAAGTTTTAAAGATAATTTTTGTTATTTAAACGATATTCTAAAGAAAAAATCACTTTCAGAGATTTTTTTTAATTTTGTCATTTTTGTGAAGTTGGGGCCCAGCGGCCTGGCGGCTAGCGGCCAAAAATTTTAATGTTGTAAAAATGTTTTTTTTAACGATAAAACGGCATTTAATGAAGTTTTAAAGATAATTATTGTTATTTAAATGATATATCTAAAGAAACAATCACTTTCAGAGATTTTTTAATTTTGTCATTTTTGTGAAGTTGGCAGCCCACGGCCTGGCGGCCTAGCGGCCAAAATTTTAATGTTGTAAAAATGTTTTTTTAACAATAAAACGGCATTTAATGAGTTTTAAGATAATTATTGTTATTTAAACGATATATCTAAAGAAAAATCACTTTCAGAGATTTTTTTTTAATTTTGTCATTTTTGTGAAGTTGGCGGCCCAGCGGCCTGGCGGCCTAGCGGCCAAAAATTTTAATGTTG